TCATATACAGTTCCCTGAATATCGAAGCTCCAAGCCCAGATACACAAACTAACCACACTAGCATGGATCAATTTCCCTGCTTGGCATTTTCAGATTTAAAGAGGAAGCAAGGGTAGAATCAGCAGGTATTTTGTAGGAGAAGAGGAAAAAGATAAATAACAGGATAGATTTTCCAACAGTTGTATGCATTCGCAAAAACATTCTTGCGGTAACATACAGAGACGTCTCAGAGTATAGAGGATAAAGTAATTGTAAAGGCAGAAGGTTTTTTACCTTAATACTGTCTCTGCCGTACATTAAAAAAACGGTCTGTCTTCAGATCCATCCCCCCAGCCCCCCTAAATACTCACCTACGTCCAATCTTGATCCAACACTCTCCTCACTGGACATGGAGGCAGAAGCAGGAGCCATTGGCTTCTGATGCTGTCAATCACAGACTGTAAGGAGAGAGTGGGGCAGTGGGGCCGAGTCATTCTGTAAATGTGTCAATGGATACACAGAGCTTGGCTCTGAATCAAGCCAGAACAAGTGCCCCACTAGCAAGCGGGCTTACTATGAGGACACTCAGAGAAGGGGAGGAGCCCTGATGGGGGTCCCCAAAAGAGTTGGATTGGGGCTGCTATGTGCAAAACCATTGCAGAGAGCAGATAAGTATGACATCTTTGTTAATAAAAAAAAAAAAAAAATTTACAATTACTTTAACATTGGTGGACTCCAGTGATTTAAATAAAACTGGAAAACAACTGAAAGATATTTTTTCCATTAAAAATGCAGTTAGGCACAAAGTCGACAGAATACAAAACAGCATTGTATAGTACTTAAAATGGCTATGGTGACAGTAAGCATTTGGCTGTCATTTTGGTATCAGAGCATGTGACCCTACTCTTTATAAAACAGCAATAGGTGCAGTGTGTGAGCAGAGAGCTACCATTTCCCTGACCCCTTCTATTTGCTTTTATACATAGAATACATAAAACGTTACATTATCCTCAAATTACAAAAACTTAGTGCAGGACCTTCTGTTTGTAACAAAATTACAGAATCAATGTTGCTGAAAGATCACCTCACCTTATAAAGCAGGATTTTTTTAAAAAAAAAGGTAGAATTTATAGCAATTAAAACTAATGAAGAAATGCAGCATGAGCTGCTCATGCTCAGGAACTAATAGGTCCACTGAGCATTTTCAAGATTATTTAGCCATCAATGATAATGAATTGACATTGTCAGTACTGTTAATGTACCGACACTACATGCTACTTCCAATCCAATAGCCATTCTTAACATTTCTTCCATAGCTGATGACTATTTTACTATCAAGCCCACACTCTTAACTTAACAATCAATTCATTCTTAGGATGGGGCCTCTGAGGGATGACGGCTCCAGGTACATGCTTTAGTGTCCCTGGCTAATAAAGAATTTAAAGCCACACACCAAATTCTACAATGCACATTTAAAGCATACATCAGGACAAAATTAAAATAAACATATACAGTATATCCTTGCAATACATGCATATTTCCCTATATTTTACAAATTCAAAGACCCTGAAAATACAGAAAAAACCTATTCTACCCAAAAATGCACTTGGCTCCTACTTTTCTTCAGTGGCCTAATGCTACATCCCATTTTTATCTAGACTGAAATTGCAAGGAATAGTGTCAGCTGTGCCCAGTTTGTTAAACTACAGAATCTTCCCATCTCCATAACATAAATACTGTTTCAGAGCCTGGGATTGAACCTGGGCCTTCTGCGGTGAGAGGCAATGTTTCTTCTTACTGAGCCACCTGGAATGCTGGACAGCTCCCTTGACAATTCTTTGGATGATCCTGCCTTGGCCCTGTTTGTCTTGAACCTTGAACTCCGTGCTCCTCCCAGTAACTTCCTATAAAAGCCATGTCCATACACTTCCTCCTTGCCAGATTACTGTGCCTTACCAGCCAATATCCCGCTTATTGTTCCTGCTGCCGTCTACACCTCTGGTACCGACCTTTGGCTTGCTCCTGACCACGATTTCATCTCATCCTCATCCACTACCATATGTGACCGACCCTTGGCTTGTTTGACTTGCTTCTGCTTATCCCTAATCTGTTTGATCCGCTATCGGTTACCAGCTTGCTCATTCCCTGGTAGGGTGATCCTGAGATCTGCGACCTGGTATTGACACGCAGCCAAATACCTCTCCACCATTAGGAGCTCTGGTGAAGACCGGTTAATGCTTAGACCACGCACCTCAGGTGAGCCTGCGTCATTTCCCAGGGTGACCTGCCTGTGTACCTATCCTGCTGGTTTAAGGTAAGCCTTACACTGCTATAGCAACTGGTCTCTGAACCTGATTCAGACTGTGACAGATGATTGTTCTGAAGTTCAAAATATAAACTGAAGGACTCATTGAGATAACACAGAACCATTCTGAATTTCTGACATCAACATTTATTTTCTTTTTACGCTTGAAAATTGTTAGTGTTTATATATACTTTAATGAAAGGAAAACAGAGTAAAGGACAGCTTGCTGGCACCATATGTAGCATTGACTAGCGAGCCCCAACACTGAAGCAATCATGGATTATACTGTACTTAAATTACTATCAAAACTGGGAATCATGGTATGCTTCGATAGACTTTTTGGCCTCACTTAAGTTACTACTATTATTCAGATGACAGTTTTATCCAGGTCCTATTGAGTCAACTTCTCCCTGGACTCCTTCACCTTCCTCCTTTTTTCCCTGCAAACTAATTTTTTTTTTTTTTTCCTTTTTCTTCTTTTTAATTGCACCTTTTTTCTGCTTTTTCTTTTTTGATACAAAAATGGCGGCCTCCCATTTGAGCTATTATTAGACACACTCCCTACCAATACAACCTACATATGCACTTGTGGGGAACTGGATCCACACCCGCTTTTGCATATTGTCCCTCACCTACAGTTCCCTTTTTTATGGTTGTTGATAAAGGCATAGCATGTAACAGGACTCATATTACCTAATCCTATCATCTTTGACAACTTAAAGTTGATAGTACTTGTTGTTACTTTTCTGTTGCCTTGGCAGTGAGGATTTGTATTGTTTAACGACTACTGAAGCAGATTGTATACATTTCTTGTCATGCTCTGACTTTAATAAACATATTTTGAAAAAAATTACTGTCAAAATTGCTAGAAATATCTATAAAAGGACGTGATCCCTCCCCAAAACTCTGGGACAGGGAAAGGATAAGGAGAAAGTGGAGAGGAAGAAGCAAGAAAAGGTAGGAATAGAATGGTGGTAAAGAGATGGCGAAGGAAGGGGACGGTATACTTCCCCTCCAAAGTATCCCTCCTGCAAGGAGGCATAGCTTTCAAGGAAGAGTGAGGGGTGCACATACTGAGTCCACACAGCAGGAAATTTACTGTGGTTGTCAAGGCAGATAATATTAAAATTCTCATTAACAAAGACTGTGTGTCTATGTGTTGTCAGACCTGTGGATGTGCAAGTCACTTTTTTGAAGCTTATGCAATGGTTTTTTTAGCTGTTAGTAGTATATAAGTGCAAGCCAAGGGTATCTTGGGAAGGGACAACTAAATAAATAAAGCTTGTAAGAGCTTAAGCACTTTGGTCTAAAATCTGTTCAGCACAGGACAGGTCCACCAGATATGCAACATATCTCCTGCTGCATTGCAGCCTCTAAAACACATATTGGTAATTGATGGATACAGGCGTACCAAAAAAAGCTTTATTTTTAAAATCAATAATTTCCCCGAAAACATCCTGCAGTGTTGTTAAAATGACAATGTTATCTTACAGCAGGACTATACACATGCCGTCCCAATAATTATATATACACAAACACTTAATATATAGTTGTGAACAGATTTACATATCCCTAACATGCAGCTGATATCCCTCCTAGATTATAAACTCCACGGAGCAGGGCCCTCCTTTCCCTCTTGTATTGAACTGTATTGTTGCTATATATATTGTAGCGCTGAGCAAACTGTTGGCGCTATATAAATCCTGTATAATAATAATATAAAAATATTCTATTATCAGTGCTAATCTCAGCTATCCTTAATGGGATAAACATAAAAGGATCAATCTCCCAGACTTCTCAAAAGGACCCTTTTCATGTAGAGTTACATAAGCCAGGAGCACCACTAAAGACAGATTACACAGAGCTCCTATTTTGCGATATATATGCTACATATACATATATATACACACACAAACATACAGTGCTCAGCATAAATGAGTACAACCCAACAGATTTGTCAAAAAACCTTTACTTTCCCTTCAGAATCAACATTTACTATGGGACACTATACAGCAAAATACTCCCACAAATGCGGGCCATTGATTGCATACAAGATTTGTAAATTTGCACACACAAAAAAGTATTTTTCCTAACAAACTCATTCAAGACAACGTTGCAAAAATGAATACACCACAATAAAAGTCTTAGGAGCAAAGCTAAATTTTACACAACAAAATCCTAATTACCAAGAATTAAACTACAGGTGAGTCTAATTAATCATTAAACAGGTGTCCAGCAGACAGCGGATTATAAAAGGGCATTACTTAACAAAGAAAACCCCTCCTATTTCATGCTGTGAACAATGGCACCACATGGAAGAGAAATGTCACAAGGCCTGAGAAAGAAAATCATTCCTTTACACAAGAAAGGTGAAGGCTTCAATAAGATCAGCAAAGCTTTACTGATCAGTCAGAATACTGTAGCAAAAGTGATACACAAATTGAACAAAGATGGAACTGCAACCATCTCACAGAGATGTCCAGGCTGTCCCCGGAAGTTAACACCTCGACAGGAGCATCTTCTAATGAGAGAGGTTGAAGAAAATCACCATGCAAGTTCACTGCAGTTAGCTAAAGAAGTAAAAAGCCAAACTGGGGTGATTGTTTCCTGTGACACAATACGGCGTACACTGTTGACAAATTACATGCATGGGTGTCCACAAAGGAAGCTTCTCCTAAAGCCCATGCACAAAAAAGCCAGCCCAGAATTTGCCAGGGCCCGTGCTGAAAAAAGAGGAATACTCCTGGGACTCTGTGCTCTAGAGTGATGAGACCAAGATAAATGTTTTTGGAACTGATGACTTTAAAACTGCATGGCGTCGCAAAGGTGAGAAGTACAAAGAAAAATGCATGGTACCTATGGTGAAACATGATGGTGGCAATGTCCTTCTGTGGGGCCGAATGAGTGCTTCTGGTGGCGGGGAGCTGCATTTTATTGATGGTATCAAGAATTCACAAATGTACTGCTCTATATTGAAAGAGAAGATGCTGTCATCACTCCGTGCCCTTGGTCATCGTGCACGTTTCCAACATGACAATGATCCAAAACACATATCTAAGGCCACTGTGGCATTTCCGAAGAAAAACAGGGTGAAACTGATTCAGTGGCCAAGTATGTCTCCTGATCTGAACCCAATCGAACACTAATGGGGAATTCTGAAGAAACAAGTTGAGATCACTCTCTATCCAGCATTCAGGCTCTAAAAGAGGTAGTTCATGAAGAATAGAAAGAGATAGATGTTGCATTATGTCGCCAACTTGTTCATTCCATGCCTAGAAGACTTGGTGCTTTCCTTACAAATCATGGAGGTCATACAAAATGCTAGACGTAGTAGTTTTTGTTGTGGGGTGTATTCATTTTTGCATCAAATAATTTGAGTGAAACTGAAGATTTTGTAATGCAGGTTATATTACCCTTACTTTCATGTAATGAGCTAAACAAATGTTCTATAAAACTCAGTTTTGTAAAAATTTTGGAAAATTGTTCTTGTGTTTATTGAGATACTGATTAAAATTTTACTTTTCAAAAGGGATGTACTCATTTATGCTGAGCACTGTATATATACATAGTCATGGCCAAAAATATTGACACTCCTGCATTTTTGTTAGATAATGCACCACTTCTGACAATTCTGTCAGATAATGCACCAGAAAATTGTTGCAATTACAAATGTTTAGGCATTCTCATGTTTATTTCTTTTGTTTGTATTGGTATGACAAAAAAAAAAAAAGTGGAGACACAAAAAGCCAAACCTGACAAATTCCATGCAAAACCCCAAAAATGGACTGGACAAAATTATTGGCACCCTCAATTTTATATTTGGTAGCACACCCCTTACAAAAAAATAACTGAAATCAATAACTTCCTGTAACCATCAATGAGTTTCTTACATCCCTCTACTGGAATTGTGTACCTCTCTTCTTTCGCCAATTGCTCCAGGTCTCTCAAATTGAAAGGGTTCCTTTTCCCAACTGCTGTTTTGAGATCTCTCCACAAGCGATCTATGGGATGGAGATCTGGACTCATTGCTGGCCAGTTCAGTGCTCTCCAGCACTTTGTCAAACTATTTCTAGGTGCTTTTTGACGTGTGCTTTGGGTCACTGTCCTGCTGTAAGACCCATGACCTCTAACAGAGACCCAATTTTCTGACACATCGCACCCCAAAATGCTTGGTAGTCTTCAGATTTCATAATGCCATGGACACGCTCAAGACATCCAGTGCCTGAAGCAGCAGGCCTCCACCATGTTTGACTGTAGGGACTGTATTCTTTTCTTTAACCACTTGCCCTCCAGAGGATTTACCCTCCTTCCTGACCAGGCCATTTTTTGTGATACGACGCAGCGTTACTGTAACTAAAAATTGCAAGGTCATGCAATGCTGTACATAAATCAGATTTAGGTCATTTTTATCCCACAAATAGAGCTTTCTTTCAGTGGTATTTCACCTCTGCATTTATTTTTTGTGCTATAAACAAAAAAGACAGACAATAATTTTGATGTTTTGCTATAAAATATAGCCAAAAAAATTTTAAAAATCAAATTTCATCATAAATTTAGTTCAAAATGTATTCTGCTACATGTCTTTGCTAAATGGCCAAATGGCGGTATATACACAGGATTTTTTTTTTTATACTAGTATTGGTGGCAATCAGCAATTTATAGCACGACTGCGGTGGGCATTCTGACATTGGGTGGGAACTGACTAACTGCCACTGACATCCCAAGTAACACAAATACAGTGATCAATACTAATAAAAAGCACTGACACTGTACTAATGACACTGGGCAAGAAGGGGTTAACATCTGGGGCGATCAATGGGTTAACAATGTGCTGTGTGCGTGTTTTACTAAGGAGACATGCTGCTTTGTATCCCTCTGCTGTGCAGATATACAAAGCAGCATGTCCTTGCTGACAGGAGCAAGACCTGTATTGTTTACACACAGATCTCTCCCCCGTCAGCTCTGCCAATGCTCACAGAGTCCTGGCCAGGACCCGGTGATTGATATCCCCATCAGCCAATAGTGGTGGCATGCCCCCTACCTGGAAATTCAATTTAATTTGAGGGTATGTACATCCAAATTGGAGGAAGGGTTTAGGAATTACAGCTCTTAACAGTAGCCATCTCCCCTTTTTCAGGGGACCAAAAGTAATTGGACAATTGAATCAAAAGCTGTTTTATGGCCAGGTGTGGGCCTCTCCTTCCTTATTTTTTCATCAATTAAGCAGGTAAAAGGTTTGGAGTTGATTCTAAGTGTGGTATTTGCATTTGGAATCTATTGCTGTGAACCTACATCATGAGTTCAAAAGAGCTGTCAATGCAAGTGAAACAGGCCACTGTAAAGCTTCAAAAATGAAACAAATCAGAGAGATAGCAGCAACATTAGGAGTTGCCAAATCAACAGTTTGGTACATTCTAAGAAAAGAAAAATGCACTAAGTAGCTCAGTAAAATAAAAAAGCATGGACATCCACAGAAGACAACAGGGGTGGATGATCACAGGATCCTCTCGATGGTAAAGAAAAATCCATTCACAACATCCAGACAAGTGAAGGAAACTCTCCAGGAGGTGGACGTTTCATTGTCAAAGTCTACAATCAAGAGAAGACTTCACAATAGCAAATACAAAGGGTTCACTACAAAGTGCAAACCATTCATAAGCCTGAAGAATATAAAAGCCAGAATAGACTTTACCAAAAAACATCTAAAAAATCCAGACCCATTCTGGAAAAAAACACTCTTTGGATGGATGAAACTAAGATTAATCTGTACCAGAATGACGGGAAGAAAAAATTGTGGAGAAGGCTTGGAACAGCTCATGATCGAATGCACACAACGTCATCTGTAAAACAAGGTGGTGGCAGTGTGATGGCATGGGCATGCATGGTTTTCAGTGGTACTCGATCATTGGTGTTTATTGATGATGTGACGGAAGACAGAAGCAGCCGGATGAATTCTGCAGTGTTTAGAGATATACTGTCAGCCCAGATTCAGCCATATGCAGCAAAGCTGATTGGACTTCACAGTACAGATGGACAATGATCCAAAACACACTGCCAGAGCAACCCAGGAAAAGAAGTGGAATATTCTGCAATGGCAGAGTCAATCACCTGATCTCAACCAAAATGAGCATGCATTTCACTTGCTAAAGGCAAAACTAAAAGGTAGAAAGACCCACAAAGAACAACTGAAGACAGCTGCAGCTAGAGCCTGGCAAAGCATCAGAAAGGAGGAAGCCCAGTCTTTGGTAATGTCCATGGGTTCCAGACTTCAGGCAGTCATTGCCAGTAAAGGATTCTCAACAAAATATTAAAAATGGACATTTTATTTATGATAATATTCAATTGTCCAACTATGTTTGGTCCATTGAAAAAGGGGGGATGGCTACTCTTAAGAGTTGTAATTACTAAACTGTTCTTACAATTTGGATGTACATACCCTCAAATTAAATCTGAGAGTGTGCACTTTCAGCCCATATCTATTATATAACTATAGCTTCAATATGTTTTGGTAAATACCTGAAAAAAACTAAAATTGTGCCTGTGTCCAAATATATATATATACGAACTGTATGTGATTTTTTGCAAGTGCCACCCTATAGCAGTACATCTGGACAAGAGCTTAAGGGGCCTCATTGCTTTTTCTCAAAACAACAGAATGAGGAGCTTTACCAAAAAGCTGAATTTCGTTTTGTCTATCCACAGCACATTCTGCCAAAAGGATCCTCAGGTAAGCTTTGTCGAACTCCAATATAATTTACCTATATAAAGCTGATCAGACGTCCGGTAGCCAAGGCATCACCCCTTTTGAAAACGTATGTTTATACAAAACGCATCGAGGAGCCCCACTACCCAGTGACGTCACGCCGCCAGATCACGGAGGTCCGGCGGCCATCATAACATGCTGACTGGTTAGAAACATTGGCAGCACAAGCTACTTTTACCTGATTGTCTACAGAGCTATTTAGCAATTTGATCGCTTTTAACTTCTCTACTTGATTGATGAATTACATGTGTGTACACCATTTTTACCTTTGATTAAATTTCATAATAAACTACAAGTTTACTACACTATGGGATCCCCTATTTTTTGCTCTACCATGAGCTCTTAAACCCTCAGGACCCAGGTCCCATCCCTCCCGGAGGATAGAATAACTTCCCTATGACCAGACCATATCACACCACCCATGAGAGGGACCTCTGATTGACATCACCTTAAACGCCCACACCATCAGAGGGAGAGAATCTCAGACCAGACCAGGTTCCATTGAAGGGAGATCTCCAGGCTGGCAATTATTAGCTAATGTGCATTAAGATTGCGCTTCTGGTGAGTTTGCAATCCCACTAATCTATCGCACACCACCGGATGATAATCACTTCTCACTTTATGGTATATTCCTGACTTCCAGAATATATGCACACATCCTGCTGGAATTTCACTTTGAATAGCACCTTCACGCCATAGAACTAATATATTAGGACTCTTATATGTGCTTACATGTGCTGTTTACTACTTTTTGATTGATGATCATGACTATATTTTGATTGAGGACCATGATGTTTTAGATATTTTTAGATATTTATTGGTTTATTTTATGCGCTGAACTTTTCCTTGGTTTATTTCAAACTCCAATATGTCTTTTTTATGTGTCTGTGTCAGCAGTGGGATCCTCCTAGGTCTCCTACCATAGTGTCCCTTTTTCATTCAGATTGCTACGTAGTGTGAGCTGACACAGTTGTACCCTGTGCCTGAAGGTCAGCTTGAATTTGTATGGAAGTTGATCGAGGTTCTTTATCTACCATTCAAACAGTCCTTCGCTGCAATCTTTGATCAATTTTTCTCTTTCATCCACATTCAGGGAGATTAGCTACAGTGCCATAGGCTGTAAACTTCTTGACAACGTCACATCCAGTGGACAGAGAAACATTAGGATCTCTGAAGATGGACTTGTAACCTTGAGATTGTCCATGCTTTTCCACAATTTTTGTTGTCAAATCCTCAGACAATTCTTTGCTGCTCTTTCTCTTCTCCATGCGGCAAACAGAGACACACAACAGAAAGGTTGAGTCAATGTTTTACC